ATTTCTGATCTTAGGAGACATGGTGGAGTAATGGATAGCGACTCAGATTGAGGAATTGGAGAGCTGAGTTCAAATTCCAGTTGAATCCATTACATTCACTTTTGTGCTAATACCCTTGGGAAAGGTAGGAATCCTCTTCTTCTCCCCTCCCCCAGCTATGGGTAGATAGCAGGACAGACCAGGTTCTATAGCTTTGGATGGTAACTGGTATACCATAGAAAGAAATGGCAACGTACTGCGAGAAAAAAATCTGCCTTGTCAGTCATGTATCAAAAGATAGATGACTGCCTAAGTGTGTATCACTCATCGCACATAACTGACTAAACTTAGCTAGTCATGATTACTGACTCAAACATACCACAGTATTCCTTACACTGAAACAATACATTCTTATTTACCAATCTTACTACAGACACCATAATAATTAAAGAAAAATAAAGAATATAGCATTTCCAAATTTAGAAAAAAAAATTTTTTTTTTTTTTTTTTTTTTATTCTCCAAAAATCAATATTGGTGTACTTACTAAAAAAAAAGGATCAGTATATAAACTGGACGATTGACCAGATCCAGGATCCAGGGGGGAGGAGAGGGTGCTTAAGAAAAAGGAATTTAAATATTGACTATAAAGATAGGCAAGGTTTCTCTATTTGAAATATTAGTAAAACATTTTTAATTCACTATTTTCACCTCAGTTTGCTCTTATATTGTACGTAACATAAACTTAGTAACATAAACTTAGTAACTACATATTTACATTCAAGCTTAAAAATGTCTTACATGAAATAATCAGACAGGTGAAATTGCACAATCTTTCCTGTTAATGAAATGGTTGGAAACTTAATATAACATCTGTAATAAAATACTAAACAATCTCCTTATGAAACAAAGAGCAAGACAGAAAAAGTAGAAATTAAAGACAATGTTTTAAACCCTAAGCCTTTTATAGAGCTTTCACATGAAAACTGTTTTTAAAAATTCTCCAAGATTCAATGAGGTGCTTAAGAAAAAAAACAATAAAATGGGCAAATGGGAGCTATCATTTTTTTTTTTAATTAAGAAAAAAAATAAAAAAAATATATAATTAACATTTGTTCATCAAATTTAAAAAAAAAAAAAAAATTGTCCAAAATAAAAATAAAGCTTATTTGTGATGATGGCTTGTTTTACAAATCTTAGCATTGTTTTGATGAACAGATTTTCTTGTTTTTAAATCAAATTGATGGTTTCAGCAACTGGTCACTAATTTGAACAATTGTGTGTGTGTGTGTGTGTGTAGATTGTAAAGATATTCATATAAATTCACTTGGCCATTCAACTAGTATGCAAAAGGAACTGAAAATTATACAATATTCTAAGTAAAATTTTATGCTAAAGAAAAAAAAAAGAAAATGATAACATTAAATAATTTTTTAAAAAGTCATTGCATACAAATGGGTGCTGAAGAGATGACAGCATAACCTACTTCCCAAAATCTGACCAAATAATTTTTTTTTGATCAGACTGAGAAGTTTTTAACATCCACATGTATATAAAGCATTTTCACCATTTTAATTACAGCTAAATAGTGTTGTGCATGTGTGTGTATATATATATATATATATATATATATGTGTGTGTATATATATATATTATATATATATATATATATATATATATTATATATATCTCAGTCAGTTATGTGCCATGCGTGATATCCGCTTAGGTGATCATGTATCTTTCGATACATGACTGACAAGGCAGATTTTTTTCCCACAGTAGGTTGCCATTTCTTTCTGTGGTACACCAGTTGCCATCCAAGGCTACAGAATCCGGTCTGTCCTGCTATTTACCCATAGCTGAGGGAAGAAGAAGAGGATTCATACCTTTCCCAAGGGTATTAGCATGTAAGTGAATGTAATGGATTCAACTGGAATTTGAACTCAGTTCTTCGATTCTTCAATCTAAGCTGCTACCCTTGTGAAAGGTATTAATCTATCTCTTCTTTCCAAGCTATGGGTAAATAGAACAGACTGGGTCCTATAGCCTTGGGTAGTGAACAGTCTAAGAGAAGAATAAATCTGAATTAAAAAATTGCAGAGGGTCATTTGGGGACCTTGTGGCATACTGTGCACCAGGTTACTCTATTTGGCTCTTCCAAAAAGTGTGGTTGGTTCTGCACGAAACCATCACCACTATAAGCAAATATGTGCAGGTAGTCTGACTGTTGGTTTTAAGAACTAAGCTGTTGGACTCTCATACATGGAAAACAACAGGAGATTCCACTGTATATGATAGATAGATAGATAGATAGATAGATAGATAGATAGATAGACTGAGATACAAAAGATAGATATGGTATGGCTTCAAACTGATAAATGGTATTTACTTGATTCCCACAAAATCAAGATGTGACACAAGGTCGATTAACGTGGGAGACCCGAGTGTTTCCATTCAAAGGCCACTGGTCAAAATTGGTCATAGCTTGTCCAAGCTGGTCAGAGCCTAGTCAAAGCTGGTCATGACTTGTCCTAACAGGTCCAGGCCGGAGCCAGTCCAAGCTAGTCAAAGCCTTGATCGAATCTCAGCCTTCGGCCAAGAAACGATCCATTATTTGTCAAAAACCCACAGCCAAAAGGCCGAGGTGAAATCAAAACTGATAAATACTATCAATCTTAGCAGTTGATCATTCATCACACCCAATAAATTGTTGCTGCAAAAGCACGAATGAAAAGCTTTACCAAATAACAAAAACCACATCTCTTGAACACTTTCAACAGCAGCAATAATCGTTGGGTAGCATATGTAACTAGAAAATAATATAATAAAGATGTTGACTTTCCACATCACAAAAAAGGGGTGGGGGATTCCCATTAATATTGGAAAGAGCTATAACATTTAGTGGACTTGAGATGACTAATTTCCTGAAAAAACTTAAGAGAAAGATTTTACAAATTTCAACTGGCAGTATTATTGTTCGGTCAATGAATGTGGAATTGTCCCTGTATAGGAATGGCTGGGTTGACCATATCATTTTAACTCTTCAGCATTCAGCACACCCAAACTCACCCCATAAATATCGGTTCTCAATATTCAACCCGATGTAACCCACCACATCTATATTCTGCCACAATATATAATGACATCATCGCAAATAATGTAGTGAGACTTTGACGTCAAACAGTGAGACTTTAAGAGCCGATATTTACGGGGGCGAGTTTGAGTGTGCTGAATGCATATATCATAAAATTAATTATCAACACTAGTGTACTTTAGTGTGTGTCTCTTCATCACAAACACAAAATACTTCTCTATATGCACAAATTACTCTTTTGATTTGGGTTTTAAAAAAATTCTAAAACATTCTCTTTAGATGATTTAATCCTTTTGTTTAATAATATTTATTTGAGGAGAAAACCTCAATGACAAAAATCCTGGGTTGGGTAGCAGCTCTCTTGTTGAGTAGATCAGCAAGCATCAACAGTTCGATAGATTGGCTTGATCTGCCATGACAAATGGTGGATGATAAGCAACACAATCAACTACAACAGCATGGATCAACTGATTCTAGTGAATACTGTGGTTACAAGTAGTTGTGACAAGTAGTGAATCATACTTACAATGTAAGTGTGAAAGCAAGTGAAAAACAGCTTGACTATTAAATCCATTTTTTATATGACATTGCCAGTTGCATGGGTCAACAAGGTGTGCCTTTGCGAGTGGGAAGATGCACTGACATCAGTTGTCAGCTGATATCTTCTTAAAGACACATCTGCAGGATGTTACAGAAATCATCTTGACAAAGAAGGTCAACTGAATGGACTGGACTAAGAACCAGATCAACAGACCCTGTGTTCTTGATGAATTACTTTTTTTTTTTAGATGAAAACTGACAGGAAAAAGAAAGCTTGTTCTCTATAAGACAGTGGTTCCTAGCAGCCTAAATGAGAGGACTGCTCGCCTGCCATGCTAAAGGAAGGTACATGCTGGTTAGACTGTTCAACCCCTTACCTTTTGTTGATCACCTACAGCTGGCCTTTACAAAAAGGTTGCAACTGAATAAAATTTGCTGACTACTACAATCTTGTCACATTTTTTGTTTTTTCTTTGAATAATGATCCAGCCAAAGAATTATTTTCTTTGTATTAAACCACAAGCATTTGATTAAAAAAAGCTGCACCCTGCAAATGAACGTGAAGTCTGCACTGAGCTGCAACACTACAATCTGGCTGGGATTGATCATGGAAGATAGAGAAGAATCGAAGTTAGTGGTGTTCAAGTTTACTTGCATTTGATGATGAAGAAAGAATATTTAGGTGTTTGGGGAGAAATAAAACTCATGTGTAAGAAAATTTGTCAAGAATAAACCTAAAAATATATGGAGGGGAAGAAATGATCCCATCTTATTTTCTAATAAACCTTTAGCACTCTGTAGGTGACTATTTTCACCAAGCAAAATCTAAGTCCTGCCAATGCAAGATGAATTTGAATTTCTTGGTTGTGTAGTCATATCCTTCTATGGCAACACCTAAAACAATCTTGACTGAAATTGAGAGCTAGACTACTGCAATTTCAAATATATAGAACTAATATATAAAACACTATATTTTGAGGGGGATTCCATATACAGGAAAAGGGGAAGTAATATTTAAAAATGATGCAGAGTGCTAAATGTTAACAAAGAATTCCCAAATTACTAATATTTGCTTTTTTTTCCTTTTTATTGACAAAACATAATAAAATAATAATAAAAAAGAATTTGTGAAGTTTTTTTTTTCACTTCTTTTTTTGTTCAGTCATCATTTTCTCTTGGGCAAATTCTAGAGTGTTTCGACATATTTGTCCTCGAGATTCGTTTATGGCACGTATTACACTTTACTTTTTGATATTTCTTTGGAATTCGGTCTCTCAGCATCAGCGAGCGCTTTACAATTTTTTTCCGTGGGTTTGTACAGATCTTGCTGTTTTGATGTCGTGAGATATTTGACTGGTTAATCAGTTTATTACAATATTGACAACTCACCTTTTCGTTTTTATACTTTTTTATCTCTCGTTGGTTGCGGTAATAGTAGTTGAGCTTGCGTCTCTTTTCACGCTGGATACGGATGTGTCGAGGCATTTTTCTTTTTGCAGACACAGCCGACGAGGTTGTTTTCGGTGATGACGGACTGGCCATAAGCTTACGGCTACTTTCCCGAAGCACTTCAAACTCAATAGGTCTGCTGTTGTAAACGCCGACACGTTTAACAGGAAGAGGGGGGACACAAAACGGACAGCGGTACATGCAGAATTCAGAGTGAGAGCCAGCCATGTGAGCTTGGATATCACTCAAACTCTTCACTTCCAGTCCGCATTTTTTGCATTTGTAAAGATTTTGAACGGGAGAACTGTTGAGTCCATGGAATTTGCATTTGGGAGGAGGAAGTTTGGTGGTAGAATTTCCACAAGTTGGGTCCAATTGTCCATTTAACTTGGAATCTGTGTCCGAGTGATTAAAAACAATATTTTCGGAGTTATCACTTGTAAATGCTGGAAAAAATACTGATCCCTGTGAAGAGACACTGACAATTTTTAATCCCAAGTCATTGGAATCGTTGATATTTACTGTTGGGGAAACGTGAAGTAGTTCCATTTTCTGAAATGGATTGGCTGCTTCTGGATTGCTTGGAGTGGTCACAGGTACATCAGAAGACATGGAATTGGTCAATGCCCTGGTTTCATTAAGAAAAAAAAAATTGAATGATAGAAAAAATATCTCATTGAAAATTAATAGAAATGAGAAAAAGTTTAAAGAAAACATTTTTCATTTCTTATTTAATGTTGGCGTGTAACTGAAGGAATATTGAAAATAAAATATTGCGAGACAAAATATATCAAGACTACATAATTTAATAAATAAATATTAACAGTAAGTCATATTTGTTTTTATATATTTACTCACACACACAGATATATATGTCAATGCAATGCTGAATACATTGACAGAGCTCATTAGAGGTGGGAGGTGAGGACCAATCAGCACTTACCAGGTAAGATCCATAGAAAGCAGTATTAAAATTTGCATACATTTGTCAATATTTCTGGTACTGTGATTACAGAACACCTGATAAGTAATCCAATTTTGTGTCATTTTTAGCCAGAGATTTTTTAACTTAGTTGTTAGCAGGGCACATTCAGACTACTATTTCAGAGTGCTTGTGATGCTATATTAATATTCAGGGCTTCAAGCAGGTTTTTCTCTGTAAGCAGAAGGGATGGCTGCTGGGTCTTAATATAATCTGTCTGTGATCACTTTCTTTCTCTCTCTCATACATATATATATATATATATATATATATATATCTTTTAGTGATGTCAACTAACAATATGACATCCCCAATGAACATACATGTATGTTGATCAGCCAGCGGACTCGCACAACTTTTCCACAGCCAGCATCCAGAAAGGCAAGCTGAATCAGGAAGACTGACATGTCAGCAATGTGGGAAGAACTGCAAAACTCTTGCTGCTCTTAAAAACCATTTGAGATGCCATCAGTGACTAAATGATGATATTTAAAATGTGTGAAAAAAAAAAAAAAAAGTTTGAGATAGTCTTGGTTACCAGTTGACATCCACCATAATCAGTGGTGATGGGTGAATTTAAAATCCAGGCAGTTCATGATGACCATTAATGGTTATGAGAGAAATATGAGAAAATTACAAAATCAACAAATGATGTTTTTAAAACATATTTAAAAAATTAATTCAATTCTTTGTTTTTGAAAATTTGTCGATCACTTTGTTGTAAAAAGCATCAGTTCCACACTACTCCTTATCTTCAAAATGTCTTTATTCAGGGAAATGAAAACCAATTTACTCAACATATCTTCTAACTCTTCTACTTTTTTATTTTTTTACTCACTCAGCCTTAACCTTCCAATCTTCTTTCACTAGGTCCGGCCACATTCTGGTGTGGAACTGGAATCAGCAGAGGTCTTTTCTGCTTAAATTACTCTACTAGTGCCCATTGTTCACATTTTATCCTAAGAAATGGAGGACTGGGAGATTTAAAAAATGATCATGAATACAAAAAAAAAAAAAAAAGATAGTAAAATAATTCATTTTTTTTTTTTTTTTTATTGTACAAAAATTGTTTATAGTGTAAAAAATTTAGTGCATGCATTGCATACATGGACCATCCACCACTTGTAAATGTAAATATATATATATATATATATATATATATATATATATATATATATAGTGTGTGTAAATATATAAAAACTACATCTTCTAAATTTTGGTCAAGTGATGAAATTTTGAAGCAAGAAAAGACAATGATTTCCAATACAGCACAAAACAGTAAACAACTGCCAAAAATAGCAAGAAAATCAATAAACATAAAAATGCAAACAGAGATCCTTTCATCGAATTGCAAAATTCAGTTGACATTTATTTACTTTCCTGGGACTCTTTGGACTCAACAAAGTTAACAGAATGAACTACCATATTTGACAGCATATAAGGCGCACTTTTTTTTTTTACTAAAATATCTTTTAAAATTCCCCTGCATCTTATATGCCATATATAGGTTTAAAATTCACAATAGTCAGCTAAAATTAGCTACCTGGCAACTCCTATTAGCTTAGATTTTAAAGTAACGTTCATATACCTATTGTCATTTAAAAGGCTCTTATGCAGATTAAAATTGTTATCATTGATAATATTCATTATATTAAATTTTATCACGTTTAATATTAGTACTTTGTTTCACTAAAATTATATGCAATAAATTCAAATTATATATTTGTAAAATATATTTGTTCCATTAATATTTTTCTTGTGATACCTTCCAATTGCATTGGTATAAATACAATCAGAAATTTTATATCCTAATTATTCCACGAAGACGTTTACAAGATGCAGGTTGTGTTCTTTTTTCCTATTATTTTTCATTTAATTATAGTCATGGCTTGTTTAACCAAAATAATACCTCATAAATATAGCTTAGGCTGTACCATTTACTAATAATTTTACTAATTACTACTTTTTTTCTTGATTTGCCCTGCTGAAATTGGGGTGCGTCTTATAGGCCGTCAAATACGGTAATTACGTTTGCATATTGTTCTGGCAGAGTTAACAACGATTGTGCACTTCATAGAAGGGTGCAGATCATTTATTTATATTTTTAAAGAAAATATTCCATATCCCTCCACCTGGTTTTTATTAAGACACCATGTTTATTAATTTTGTACTTTTTGACCCTTTAAATGATTTTCCGACTCACCCATGCATTTAAAAGCATATTGAAAAAAAAAAAAACCTGCCCCCATCTCTGTATTAGACAACCAAGTGTAATCTTATTAAATCATTTTTGTAAAATGATGATTTATAACTTTTTATCATTCTTCTTTTATCAAATCAAAAAACAGATATATAAATACAATAGAAAATTTAAAAAAAAAAAAAAAAAAGGCGTTTAGTTCAGTAGGAAGGCAATGAACATAGGTAAGTCCATGAACTCAAAAAACAACTGATTTCAGATCAAGGTAAAAATATCTTTTTCTTAATCTGATTAGGTTTAATAAAAAAAATAAAAATAAAAAAAACATTTATCATTTGTAATTTATTAAACATTAGAAAAAAGAATCTTGGTAAGTAGCAGTAAGAAATTACACATGTTGGTTAAGTAGAATGCAATATATACATTTTAAAATAATTTTTCATTAAAGCCAACTATTTACATTATTTACATTGTTTGGACCATTGTCCTCATCTTTATTGCCATATTCATGACGTTTTGGACATTGTATGCTCCAGCGTTCTTCAGGTGATTTATCATTCAATACAGATGAGGACAATAGTCCGAATAATGTAAATAATTACAATACCCAATTTCAGAAATACAGACAGATATTAAAGCCAACTAGTAAAAAAACAAACAAACAAAAAACAGAGAAAACTAATATTTATTCATGTAAAATTTGATTCACTATTTTTACATTTAAAACACATGGCTACAATATATTTAATGTAAAATTTCATCTACCACATTTACATGGAAAAACATGACATTGTTATATTTTAATTTCATTGGCCGTGTACTAAAATGAGAAGTGGATTGGTCCAGCATCACATCAGTGTTAAAAATGGAGGTGGGGGTTAAATATGATGAAAAGATGTTCAGATGTTAATGTTTCTTAAAAAAATATTTGTTAATTTATTATTCATTTTTAACTGGTCTTACTTTAATCTTATTTTTGTTGCTTTTCTGTTACAATTTTATCAGCATTAAGAAGGAAAATTTATACAAAGTCCTTGTCTAGAAGATGAAAGAATTAAGAGTGAAAAATTAATAATGGTAAGGCTTTATATTAGAAACTTGAATATTTTTAGCCTTTTCAAGGTTAAAAAAAAACAAAATGGTCACAGAATTAGGAAGTACCAGCCCAGTTATCCATTAAAAATACTGATTGGCAATTCTGCTTTGGATCAGTGTATTATCTGTGTAGTCTGCTTTAGATCAGTTTTATATCTGGTTTATGAAATGAGCATTGAGTCTAGTTGTTTGTATGGAGTCCCTAATGTACATAAACTTAATGATCTGGATAAAACACCCTCATTAAGAACTATTATAGTGTCTAATGATTTGCTCAATTATCATCTTGCTAAATAATTTGGTGATTTATTAGAATCATGTATTAATTTATGTGTACAGGATGTGACTGTAGCATAGTGGTTATTGGTGTGGAAAGTGGGATTGGCATATTGAGTTTAATTTACAAATGAGGCTGTTGCATTCATTTTCACACAAATACACTTGCAAAAGTATGAATCCATCCCCCCCCCCTACAAATTCTTAATAGCAGGGTAAACCGAGTTTTCTAGCCTTGATTTATAACAACACTGAAAATATATATATATATATATATATATATATATATAACTTCACAAAAAGATCTGCTGAGGATTCAATGTGAAAAATATCTATAAAACTGAGTACAGATTTATAGAAGTGAATTTTTGAATTTGTAGGTCTGATGAATTGGATTGGATCATGATCACAATTCCAATGTAATAAATTATAACCCTGGAATATTAGTGTTTGAGCCTTTTATATTATATATATATATATATATATATATATATATATATATATATTACGCACATATAAGGAATTTATTTATAATCTGACATTATTCCTTATTATTATAAACATTTTTGAAAGGTACATTTCCCGGAAAATGGAGATATTTATGAACATTCTTAAATTTAAAAAAACATTAACATTTTTGCACTTGTATATAAATACTTGTTACAAAATAAAATCCTTGCATTTGCCTTGATAAAGTCTCTCAGAAGATGAAATTATATATATATGTGTGTGTGTGTGTGTGTGTGTGTGTGTGTGTGTGTGTGTGTGTTTGGGCAGCAATCCTTCTTTTAGACAAGTTTTGTTAAAGACAACTGATAAGATACTGCTATTAAGCTTTTTATTTTTCTTCTGTTCGTACAAGTGTTTTCTTCTTTTCTGGACACAAAGTGTGTAAAAACTGTAAATTTATATTTTGATAAGATTTAATAGCGGCACTCCAAGAATTTTCTATTTAAGTAAATTACTTTCTCAAGTTATTTAAAATATATATATATATATATATATATATATATATATATTGGATAACAATATATAATTTTTTTTTATATATCAAGAACAATTTTAGGAGAAAGAA